TTGTGTATTAAAACCACCTGGGTCTCCACTTTTAGCAAACTTATCCCTCAGGTTTTTCCAAACTCTTACAAAAACTTTCCACTGTTGCAATTACTAGCCAATAATTACTGTCCATCTGATTCTATGATCACACATAGACGGATCATAAAGATGTCTGTACAGTCATACCCGTTTCAGAAAAAATCTCTTTAAAGTGGTTCATGTTCAACTCAAATCAAACGTGATGCCTCGCCAACTGTTCGCTCGAGTCTCAAAAAAAAAGTGTGCTCCACCAGCTGAAATCATGTTGCACGCACCCAAAAGCGACACTTCGCAAACGTAATGATGAAGTCACATTTGCCACGCGCACTCAAGCGAACTAGCGGGTGCATCAAGTATAAACCAGGCTCAAGGCACATGCAAAAGTCAAAACTGTAATATTACACTGTTACATTGTTATTTCTCTCAATCTTTCCTCAGGTTGCGAAGACTAACAAAGAAGCGAAGGAAGCAAAGTCCGAGTAGCACTATTGCCCTCTCATCAACTCTTGTCATTGCAACTCCTCATCACTCCTAGTATCGTGTCATTGTCCAACCTCCAAGGCATATTGTTAACAGAGAAATATTTTTATCAATGGTTTTATAAGTATCCGTACAGATTTTTAGCACAAACTGAAGCTAAATACTGAGCACCTTGTAGATTTGCGGTGATTGCTTCTGCGAGAATGCCACTCTAAAAGTATTTTTAAATGCCACTTGTTGTTGATAACTTATTTGGTCTAGAAGAAAAACAAACCATACCCCCCTCTAGAGCTTTGAGTGTTTTCTTGAACTGTTTCCACATGCATTCTTCTTCCTCACTCGTTTTAAGGTTTTTCAAGTGATTATATACATGGTTGGGAGAAATTGACCTCGTGTATATTTTCCTTGCTATTTAGTAATTTGTCCTAGAGTTAGTGTAGTGTTCATGATAGAAATGATATAGAAACAAACATCATAACCTTCAAGCAGATATTTGACAGAGCTGATGTATTTCACTCTACCCTGCAAAAAAAAAAAGAATGAAAATGATGGCAGCTTACTAAAGATCATGATGTTTTCATGCAAATTGTAATTTTTTTACCATGTGAGTCTGACATTTTTTGAAGTCTGCAGGTTGTTATGTACATTATCTGATGTTGCAATGTCTGCTAATAAAGAAAACGGTGGAATTTTCCTCACTTTTGCCTCACATTCTTTTCTTCAGAAATGATCAATTAATTCAAAGGATATAAATACAGTCTTGTGTCTTTCATAAACGTAGATTTGCATATAATGTTGAAGTTAGAATTATTATAGTATTTTTTTCTGTTTAATGGAGAAAAGCTTTTTTCAACACATTTCTAAACATAAAAGATTTAATAACTCCTCACTAATAACTGATTTATTTTATCTTTGCTATGATGACAGTAAATAATATTTGACTATTTTTCAAGACACTTCTATACAGCTTAAAGTTACATTTAAAAGCTTAATTGGGTTAATTAGGCAGGTTTTGGTAATTAGGCAAGTTATCGTATAACAATGGTTTGTTCTGTAGACTATCGAGAGAAAAAAATAGCTTAAAGGGGCTAATAATTTTGTCCTTAAAATGGTGTTTAAAAAATGCTATTATTTTTGGCAAAATAAAACAAAATAGACTTTTTTTCTGCAGAAAAAATATTATCAGACATACTGTGAAAATTTCCCTGCTCTGTTAAACATCATTTGGGAAATATTTAACAAAGAAAAACAAATTGAAAGGGGGGCTAATAATTCTGACTTCAACTGTATATCACTCGGAACAATATAAAGAGACATTTCTTGATCATTAACCTGGAAGTGGGCTGACACGGTGGCTCAGGGGTTAGCACTGTCGCCTCACAGCAAAACAGTTGCTGGTTCCAGCTCCGGCTGGGTCAGTTGGCATTTCTGTGTGGAGTTTGCATATTCTCCTTGTGTTGGTATGGATTTCCCCTACAGTCCAAAGATATTAGCTATAGGTTAATTGAATAAACTAATTTGGCTGTAGTGTATGGGTGTTTCCTAGTACTGGGTTGCAGCTGGAATCCATTGTGTAAAACATATGCTGGATAAGTTGGTGGTTCATTCCGCTGTGGCGGTCCCTAATGAATAAAGGGACTAAGTCGAAGGAAAATGAATGAATAATCTGGAAGTCCTTGTTGACCTTGGAGTGCGTCAGGAGATCAGTGGTTCTAAAGCACAGTAACTGGGGGAGGGGCAGACAGGAGCCACTCGTGTTATCAGGGGTCACACTTTAGCATATACATTATTATTCAGAATGATTTCATTGTCATTCATTTCATTTATCAATACAATTCAAGACGTAAGCTAATACACATATTACATAGTCTACATTCTGATAAAAATTCAATTTAGCAAGCCAGTAAAACAAGTGGTTCTATAAGTGGCATTATTATTATTATTAAAGTAATTAATATCTCTTTGCTCTAAGCTTGCATAATCATGATTACTTCAAGGTGGCACTGTGGTTCAGTGGTTAGCACTGTTGCCTCACAGCAAGAAGGTCACTGGTTCGACTCCAGTTGGTATTTCTGTGTGGAGTTTGCATGTTCTCCCTGTGTTGATTTCCTCCTGGTGCTTCGTTTCCCCCCACAGTCTAAAAACATGCAATATAGATGAATTGTATAATTAATTGCCAGTAGTATATGATTGTGTGTGAATAGGTGAGTATTACTGTGTTGTGGCTGGAAGGGCCAACCTTTTCATTTTGTAACATTGACCCAAAGAAAAAAAAAAAAGAAAAAATACATAGTACTGCAAAAAGAAAAAGAAAAAACAACAACAACATAGTACTGCTATGTACTGCATGGTACTGCAAAAAGTTAGTTTATGTACTGTATGTGCTGTTTCCATGTTTGGATAGGTGTTACTGCAAATAATGACAAATATTTTAGCCAAAATCGGTTATCAATACCACACTTTAACCACTTAAAGTACTGGTAGGTACCGGGTCCGTGACGTCATCGACTTTCGCTTTCAGATTTAAAGGGCTAGCGTTGCACCAGACCCCCGTAAGTGGTGTCGTTTAAAAGAGTAGAATCTATATTTTATGCACATATGCATCACTTTGGTTTTTATTCCACTGTACAAAAGTTATTTACACTTAAATACACAGTATTTTGGATACCCGAGCTAGGTATTTTACATTGGTTCATTTTCATATTTTTTTATATGACACATGTACATGTTATAGCTCAAATGAAAGCTCTTGCCGGTGCTCATACAGTTCTAGCATTCTTTTTACTGAATTATATTCATGTGTCAAACAGTTGTTGAATGAATTGTGGTGTTTCCATGGCACAGAAATGTAAACAATAAATTCATGATCACTAAGCAGCCCCAGATAGCACAGACAGCTGTCATCTCTTACCTTATGCTGAGCGCTTCAGGGCCATTCTCCTCTGTGTTTGAGGTGATGTGCATAAGTAATCCTTTTATATGCCTGATGTGGTCCAAACACAGTGAATTATGTTTGATCAAACAAAAGAATAGTGAAATATGAAAACAAGGATTGGTCTCTGTGGCTTGTACAGCCCCTCTCATCAGTTGAAATGGAATAACTTTTGCATAGATTATGGTAGAGACATTTTTCTTTTTTAATATCATTACAGATATGTGCAGGAATCAACAAAATTAATTACAGCACGCTAGGACACACAGAACCTAAAAGGTACACTTTCAAATTTGAGTTTATTAAAAAAAAACAAAAAGCGCCTCTTTTTTTAGGTGTTTATTAAAACACAGACAACATATACAGTTATTTTAAACACTTTCAATAGTGTTTTATGAAAATTCAAAGGGTTTTCTTTAAAATGATACCAAATTTTTGCATTTACACCTCTGCATGTGGATTTGGGAAGCTTTTAAATTTGGGAAGGCAAAACCTAGGCGGAAATCCCCAAATAGCAGCAGAGTTTAAGTGGTTAAAGGAGTGGTTCTCCTCTCTTTCACGCTATTGGGTCTGTGATTGGGGATGTGGTCCCCGCTGCAGTATGCATCCCTTATTTTTTTGTATTGAAAGTGGTAACCCTAGAGCCATACTAAATCACACATTCCAAATAAAAACTGAAAAATTGAGCATTTAGAATAAAATATTCTATTAATTGCAAATTAAAAATTGAAAAGCTATAGAGAATCTCTTATTTTGGATGTAAAATTTGGATTTTTAAATAATTTAAAACTAAAGAGGTTTTTTTAGTCCAAATATCTAAAAATTCTTAAATCAAGAAGCATTTTATTGACAAGCAAAAAAATAAATTCTTGTTTTAAGAAATAATATGCTAAAATTGAGTGTGTTTTTCCTTAAAGCAAGCGAAATAATCTGCCAATGTGGTAAGCAAAATAATCTTGATTTTCTTTGTGACGAGATTATTTTATCTCATTGCCAAATCATTTTATCCCACAAACATTCAATCATTCATTTTCTTTTCGGCTTAGTCCCTTTGTTAATCCGGGGTCGCCACAGAGGAATGTATCTTCCAACTGATCCAGCATGTTTTTATGCAGCGGATGCCCTTCCAGCTGCAACCCATCTGTGGGAAACATCCACACACACTCATCCACAATCATGCACTACGAACAATTTAGCCTAGCCAATTCACCTGTACCACATGTCTTTGGACTGTGAGGGAAACCCGGAGGAAACCCGCGCAAACGCAGGGAGAACATGCAAACTCCACACAGAAACGCCAACTGAGCCGAGGCTCGAACCAGCGACCCAGCAACCTTCTTGCTGTGAGGCGACAGCACTACCTACTGCGCCACTGCGTCACCATCCTACAAACATCACAAATGTAATGGAAAACTAGTATGGCCAATGTGCCAACACAGAGTGCTGAAACTTTCTGTGCATATTCATTATCCTAAATTATAAAAGCTCAACATCAAAATACGCTGATGTATCAAGCCACAGACTTATAAAAATGAAGCAGATGTAAAGCAGTGGTAAAAACAATGACACTGTTGTTCTACCAGATGGATTAAAGTAGCAGAAGTTTCCTGAATACCAAAGCCCAACCCTTTCAAATGAACTATAATGTACATAACCAATGTCCAAGGTCCACTGTGATAAGAACACTTCACCTAATGTAAAAAACCACCTAGTAGGTATCTGATTACGGACGATTGAGTGTTTGCCTGAAGCGATGAAATCGAAGTTGGGGTTTAGAGCAACTAGTGAACATGGCCGTTCATGTATTTGGCTGACAGTATTAGCTTTCCAGTGCTGCTTCCAGCTGTCAGCCGCTGCTGCCACCTTTTTTTACTGGACTGCAGATGTTGGCTTGAGTTACTTCGACAGAGAGTCTAATGAAACGGTGATCAGTATGTGTGAATGTGGCAAGTTTGGAATAAACTCACCCTTGAGGTCAGCTTCTGGGTTAGCGGTGCTTCCAAATTCGGATCCTCTGGCATGCTCGAAGAACACTACTTTCACTGCAAGTCACCAGCCATGGATTGCCCTGATAAAAACTGGAAAATGCTCCTACACTAAGAAGATCAATGCGGCCCAGCGAGAAGGAGCCTCTGCTGTGGTTATTTACAATGAGGACGGGACCGGCAATGACGTTATACTTATGATGTATTCAGGTATGAAACTTTCTTTACTTGACAAAACACGTCAGTTTGTTTTGAATCAACTTTAGAAATAAATTGAGTTCTGGAGTGCCTTAATGGCACACAGCGGCTATTTGTGACAAGATAACAACTCCATAATGCATTAGATAACTGAATTAATACCAATGCTAAACAGTTTGAGATGTCGTTCTCTATTGTGTTGTAAAATGTCTCAGACGATCACGTTCTCTCACAAAACACGTGTTAGTAAAACTGAATTGTCGCCATTGTTGTAAAAACCGGAACAAGAGAGATGAACTTTTAGCTGAAAAAAATTCAGAATGCACTGTAATCAAATTTTCTTAAGACACGAATTATTAAAGTGAGAAACAGAGGGAATTTTTCACATCAATGCTCGTGTCATGCTTCTTCAGGCGCCAGAATATGAGTTATATATACAGCCAAGCCTGAAATTATTCATACCCCTGGAAAATACTGACTCAAAGTCTTTGTTAAAATGTAAATAAAAACTTAGATTGTTTTTTCCCCCCCACAATGTTGCCTCTTGTTCATCGTCTTATTTTCTTTTGGCAGAAGTCGGTCATTTCCGGTCAAAAAAAAATGTTGGTTGAACAGAAGTAATTTTAAGTAAAAATTTATGGGTAATGAATAATTTCGGGCTTGACTGTGTGCTCTTCACACTAAGAAAAAACTGTTCACTGATTGGTTCTTTTTGGAACCAACAATTTTTTTTTTTTTATGGAAACATTGTAAAAAAACATTGTTTTTAGGACTGTGAAATTAAATGACTGAATTAAGGGACTCAAAATGAAAATATTTCTTTGCGTTTTGGTCCTTTACTTCCACAAAACCAGACTGCATAGGTTACTTAGATATTGTGTTCGAAAACTGATTGCAATTTACATAACGAAAAATTTGTTAACATTTTCTAGATTAATTTGAGAATGTCACCAAATTTATCACATCAGTTTGATCTAAAATACATTGAGAAAGACAATAGATTCCATTCTATGCTATAAACAACAAATACATTGTTTTATTAAATCAAGGTAGATCAAATTGGGATTTTGCGAAGGAACTACATGGGGCTTTGAGTAGTTATGAAGAAATTTAATCGTACCAATGTAAAATTTAAATAAATAATGAATAATTATCATTGACTTCTGTTTTCTTCATTAGTTTCGAAAACATAGATTTCATTACAATTTATAATGACATCGTTAGATATGCTTTCTACTGGGGATACTGTTGTCCTAAAAAAAAACTAGATTAAAAAAAAAAAAAAAACGTAAATAAAAAATTCCTACACATACCTTAGGAATGGAATAGTAGAACATTTTGGCGGTTTTAAAATCTTGAGTTTTTCGAACCGCGGTAAAACGATTGAAAACAGTTATCGTCCCATGCCCATTTGTGAGTAGTTTTAAAGATATTCAATCTTAAAAATGTAAAATTAAAATAAATTATTGATAAAACACACAAAAATATTTACAGGAATGAACACTAACAAATCATTTGACTATCTGTGAATATGCAAATGTACTGTTAAATGACATATTAACTTTACTTATAATGTAAAGATTCATTTTAGAAAATTTGTCACCAAATTGATCACATAAATTTGATCTAAAATACATTGAGAAAGACAATAGATTCAAGTCTGTGCTATAAACAACAAATACATTGTTTTAAACTTTACATTACTTCAAGGTGGATCAACAGCATGTTTTTTTTTTACAATGGATGCCCTTCAAGCCGCAACCCATCTCTGGAAAACATCATTCACACACACACTCATACACAACGGACAATTAAGCCTACCCAATTCACCTGTACCACATGTCTTTCGACTGTTCTGTTTCGACTGGGTTGATTGTTGTCGTGCGCGTACTGAAGGGGGGTGGGGGGGGGGGGGTATCGCGGGGGCACTTTTGATCATTTTGGAAGGGCACTTTCTATCCAAGACTAAAAAGGGCATGTGCACTGCACAGGTTGAGCCCTATGTGTGCACGTGCCTGAATAGTGTTGTCTTGGTACTGAAATTTAAAAATTGTAATTTCCTGCTAACATTTAGGTGCCGTTGACCATGTCTTAAACACAGCTGATTTGCCATAGTATTCACCAGTGCTCAACAGAGACGACTGTGATTGGCCGTGAAGGTCATCAGTTCACCACTCTTCACCTAGAGCAAACCCAATTACAGGGACACTGGATCGATTTAAAGCCGCGAGGATCGGTCAAGTCATCTGCAGGTCGCTCCTCTGTGTTTGCACGTGGTAAACATTAGTGAAGTGCAGTGAACTGGTTTTTTTTGTAAATTTCAGTACCGAAATTCAGTTAAGTTTGATAAATGGCTTCTAAAATGTGAAAGTGTTAGCTAACTAGTGCCATTTCCCTTAACTTAGCTGAATATTAGGTCCGACATCTCTTTATATTTTAACTCTCCATTCAGAACAGACCTTCAGGTCACTCGAAATATGTGAAATGATAAATGTGTGTCACTTTCTCTTCGCTGACAACACATACAGTCAGGTAAACAATAATACACCATCGCAGATATTTGCTTTCTGAGCAAAATGCAAAGGAAAAACGTTTGTTTGGTCATGTAAATGTAGATGTATAGCGGATCTGACAAATTATTATGTTGAACGTAGGCATGGGACGATAACCGGTTTTAAGGTATACCGCGGTTTTGAAAAGTCAAGGTTTTAAAACCGTTAAAAAGTTCTGTTATACTGTTCCTAGGGTATTTGTAAGTTTGTTTATTTGTGTTTTTTATGACTATTTTAGGATTTTTTTTTAGGGCAATATTAGAAAAGGACCCTCCACATCCCAAGTTACTGGTCAGTCCATGATTCAGGAAACATCTAAAAAAAGAAATCTTGAAATAACCAACATCCAGCATGCTGTAGAGCTGAATAGAGCAGAGACTTGCTTTATATCCAAAGAAAAGAAAGATACCCAAAGTTGCCTTTTCAAGTTGAAAATAAATCTATGTTTTTGAAACTAATTGAGACAGCAGAAGTCCAGACTTATTTAAATTATTTAGCCTAACATTTATTGTTTCAAAATATCTTAAATATATAAAAAATAAACCATGTTTAATGGGGAAAACGTTTTTAACCCAGACATTTAAAAATAACTTATTTTTAGAGCAATAATTACAATACCGTTATATTGTGGAACTGTGATATTTTTACCTAAGATTATCATAACGTCAGAATCTTATACCAGCTCATGCCTAGTTGAACGGCAGAGGTTTTTGTGGCTATTAGTTAATCTGGGTTTTGTGGAAACATTTGTATGTCAAGTTTGTGAAGTAAAAGGATAAAATAGACCACTGAAATAACCTGCCTTTTCTATTTCATTGGCATCGTTTCTTATTAAATAAATATAATTCGGCAATTATTTCAAAATTTCCAAAACTGTTGATCAGCGTTTGTTATGAAAGTATTTAAAGTCAGAATTTTTATGTCATTAACCTTGACTGTTTATTGTTTAATACGCTTATGGCCCAGTAAAACTTTATGTGAGTTGGGTTTTACCTGAGACCATCAGAATGCATTTTATGACTCTGTCATGACACTGTAAACTTGTTCCATAACGTGTTGCACCAAACCTGATTTTCCTGACTTTTGTGAAATTTGCATAACATGGTTTTGTAACGAGTTATTATCTAGTCTCATGGCAGCTTCTTTTTGAAAATTGAACAACAGTATTTTAAGGAAACCTCCTTTGTTTACAGTTAACATACAGTTGAAGTCAGAATTATTACCCTCCCTGAATCATTCACCCACCTCCAATTTCTGTTTAACGGAGAGAAGATTTTTTCAGCACATTTTTAAATACAATAGTTTTAATAACTCATTTCTAATAACTGATTTATTTTATCTTTGCCATGATGACAGTAAATAATATTTTACTAGATATTTTTCAAGACACGTCTATACAGCTTAAAGTGACATTTAATGGCTTAAATGGGATAATTAGGCAGGTTAGGGTAATCAGGCAAGTTATTGTACAACGTTAGTTTGTTTTGTAGACTATCGGGAAAATAAATTGCTTAAAGGGGCTAATAATTTTGACCTTAAAATGTTTTTTAAAAAATTTAAAATTGCTTTTATTCTACCCAAAATAAAACAAACATTTTCCCCAGAAAAAAAAAAATATTATCAGACATACTGTGAGAATTTCCTTACTCTGTTAGACATAATTTAGGAAATTTTTAAAAAGAAAAAAAATTCAAAGGGGGACTAATAATTCTGACCAAAATATGTTTTGACCTATCAATGCATTTTAGCTGCAAATATAACCCAAATAACAATGCTGATAAAGAATCACTGCAGCAATATATAAATCTGCACATCACATATTAAAATAATGTTTGCGTGTGCTATTCTGTTCCTCCTCGAATCAGCAATCATGGCTAATATATTATTTTATTTCAACAGGTGCTGATGATCTAGTTGCTATCAATATTGGCAATATTTTAGGCACACAGATTGCTTACCTGATCAACAATGGTTTGGATGTTAATATGACGATTAATGTAGCCACTCCAACTGGCGTGTGGAAGGGTACATGGGCATATGTGCTGTCTTTCACTTTCATTGGAATAACAGCCGTCACGATGTTCTACTTTGCATTCCTGTTTATGAAACGCATGTACATAAACCGACAACTTCGTAGGCAACAGGTAAAAGTTCACTTAAGCACTCTCAAACATTTATCGTCTAATATAACATTAAATATTTGTCTTATATTCTACAGTAAGAAATCTCATAAGTGATATTTTAATATTTATTCTGTTCTGTCATTCATTTCTGTGCAGATGGAGATAAAAAGAGAGACTGAAAAGGCAATTGGAAAGTTAGAAGTGCGGACTCTGCGGACAAATGACCCGGTATACAGCTATTACAAAACAACAATAAAAGAACAAAGAAATAGCCCTTAAAAAATAAAAAATAAAGGCTTGCTTTATTTACTCAGATATAGATAACTTGACCTTTAGCTGAACTCGTGTTTCTTATTGATTCATAAAATGGGTGCTGTCATGGTGCACCTTAGTTACTTTAGTAAACAAACACTAAAACATAAGACTGAAACTTAGTCAGTAAACATTTTAAACTGAAATAAAATAAAAAAATGCACACTAATTGAAAACTAAAAGTAACTGAAACTAACAGCAATCACCAAAAGACTAATTGAAATAAAATAATAATTAGCAAATTGAATTCATTCATTTTCTTTCTGGCTTAGTCCCTTTATCAATCTGGGGTCGCCACAGCAGAACCGTCAACTTATCCAGCATATGCTTTACGCAGCGGATGTCCTTCCAGTGGCAACCCATTGCTGGGAAACACCCATACGCTCTCATTCACACACATACACTAAGGAAAATTTAGCTTATCAAATTCACCTAAAGCGCATGTCTTTGGACTTGTGAGGGAAACTTGAGCACCCGGAGGAAACCCACGCGAACACGGGGAGAACATGCAAACTCCACACAGAAATGCCAACTGAGCCAGCCGAGGCTCGCATCAGTGACCTTCTTGCTGTAAGGCGAGAGTGCTGCCCACTGCACCACCACGCCGCCCTGCAAAATGAATAATTAAATTAAGTTAGTTTTTGTGTAGTCATTAATTTCTGTTTAGATGAAGTTAGTTTTTTGCTTATTCTTAGAGGTCTTTAAGATTTTCACATACAGCCCAAGTTTACCCTGGTTTTAGTCAAGATGACTGTTTTTTTGACCTCTATTGTGAATTTCATACGCTTGAAATTATCCTGAATTTAGAAAAACATTCAACTAATTATATAAAAACGAAATGGAAATATGTTCAGAAAATAAAAACTAATCTAAAACTAACAAAACCATTAATGAAACAAACTGAAACTTACACTAGCTGGCCTCTATTACACTCACCCCCCTTAATCTCACTCCCATCCGGGTCACGGCACCAATATATGGCACCCTCTCTGAGCTGGGATTGAACCAGTGACTTTCCGCATAGGAGTCAGCTGCAAGGAGGCTTGAGACCATGGCCTCTAGCGTCTGTTGCTAGAGCACCCTATACAGGTTAGATGACTGATGTTTTACCTGCACAGCACTTCACTAGCTGGCCTCCATTACACTTACCCCCTTTAACCTCACTCCCATCCGGGTCACGGCACCAATATAACCCTGCTGTTCCTACATCACCCAACCCGCTCTGAGCTGTGATTCAACCAGTGACTTTCCACATGGGAGTCGGTTGCACTAACAAGGAGGCTAAAGACCATGGACTCTAGCGTCTGTCACTAGAGCACCTTTTAGAGGTGAGAGGACTGAGGTTTCACCTGCACATCACTTCAATATCTGGCCTTCGTTACAAAAGGACACTGTTTGTCTTCAGAAAATGGAGATGGGAAAGAGGTTGGCGGGTGATGGGGGTTGGGTTGTTTGTTTGTTTTTACATAAAAAAAGTGTTTATATAGATGGTTTGTCAAGACCACTCAGCATTGCATGATGTTTAGAAGTTGTCCTGTAGAGGAGGAGGAGGTCCTGGTTTTGATCACAAGGTTTCAGGTGATTCCGGAAACATGGGTTTTTAGTTGTCGTTTGAAGGATACCCATGAATCCACAGTCTGTGTAAGAATGGGAAGACCATTTCACCACTGTGGAACATTGAATGAAAATGTTTTGGAAAGTCATTATAGCCTTTCGGTGATGGTACCACAAGGTGATGCTCATTCCCTGAAAGGAGGCTCCTGGAATGGAGACCTTCAGGAGCAGGTGGTAAGAAAATGTGGTGCCAGTGGCTGTTCTGTAAGCAAGCTTCAATGATTTGAACTTGATACAAGCCTCTACTGGTAACTAATGCAGAGAGATAAGAGAGGCGTTACATGAATTATCTTGGGCTTAATAAAGACAAGGCAAGCTGGAGCATTCTAGATCATTTGTAGAGGTTTAAGTGTGCAAGATTGTAGTACAGCTAGAAATAGCATTTCTGTAGTCCAGACATGAAAAAGAGCTGTCACTAAAATATGTGCAGCATGACCTGTTAGGAAGGGTTTGATTTTTCTGATGTTAAAAAGTGCAAACCTCCAAGATCCAGCTGTGTTGGCAATATGCTCTTTGACAGCTGATCATCCAGGATTACCACAAGATTCCTTACTGAATTGCATGGGGTAAAACTAGATGAAGGGAAAACAAGAAGTTCATTTTTGGCAACATTGAGCTAAAGGTGATAGGTCTTTCATCCAAGTCCAGATATCTTGAAAGTAATGCTTAAGTGATCTGAAGTGAGCAATGGTTTAACTGTGACTTTACCAGAATTGCAATGTCTTGTCTAGATAAGATTTGTGTGTGATTGTGGTGGTAAGCTGCTTGAGGCTGAATAAAATTATGAGAGAATGGAAATCTGTAGCATAAGGTTTGTACAAGTGAATGCTGAAGTTATCTAATACTGTAACTTATAAAAGAAACAGCCAATTCTTCAGTAAATGCACCTAACTGACCAGAAGGATGGTAAATGAGCAGAAAGTCAAATTTAGCAAGAGAAGTGATAGATACTGACTGGTATTTAATATTATTGATAAAGTGAGTATAATTGGAGTATTTCCAATTATTTCCAGTATAATCCTCATTCATTAGAAATGAGAAACCCAGTCTTTCCTCCCCTTCCAATCAGGCGGGCAGTGTGGGTGAATGCAAAGTTTTTAGAGAGAGCAATTGGAGTAGGAGTCCTAGAGACGAATCCAGGTCTCAGACAAGGACAGGATGTTAAGATTAGATTACGATGCAAATGCTGGGATAAAGTCTGCTTTGTTGACAACTGACTGACAATTCCACAGACCATAAGGAAATGTGTATAGGGTGTAAGTTGTTGATGTTTCAGTGGCATCTGCGTGTGTTGTGTGTGCATGGAATTGTAATGACAGGAATGTTCTGCAAGCACATAGTGTGAAAAGTAAATGGAAAAGCCTACTAGTGTTGTGGCGGTATCCCTGATCGGTGTAGTCATGTAAGCCAAGTCAGTACCCTTTTCCCTTGTTGGTCTTCACACGATTATTGCTTTCGATGACATGGTAAGCGTTTACACCCAGGTTTATATACAGCTACTCATGCTCCACTGAACTGAATGAAACTGTGCTCAACTGTTCATTAACTGCCCAACAAAGCCTCCAGCTCACGAATGCAGTGAATTGAAATCAAAGCTGCTAAGAGCCCTTTCATACACTCGGCTCAATAAGTCGCAAGACGTGTTTGGCATGATTTGTTGCTATCATCAGACCAGGGCAATGTTCACATTTTGCGGCATGTTGTTTAAATAGCAAATCCATTTGCACCACTTTTTGGATTCATGGGTGTTCCAGTCTAAAAAAGAGGTGTGTGAAGGCGCATTGTTGATGAGTTGCTATATTCTTAGGAACTGAAATAGACTGTGCCATTGACAAACTAAAACCTGGTCTAAGTCTAAAGTATTATTTTCTACATAAATATAAAAACAACTACCTCCATGCCTTCTACATGTTGGGGGCTTTTTTTTAATTTATTACAATTTGCATTTTTAAAATGTTATTATTATGATTAGCCGTATTTATTATATGCATATTTATATTTGTTTAATAAAAGTTTTTGGATATAACTTTTTTGATCACACTCTTTTGATCACTGAATTTAGAAATAGTTTTGCTTAACAAACTAAATTAAATATGTAGGCTAATGGATGTTTTCAGTGGAGTGTGTACAACACCGTTTCGTTATCCACAAAAGTAAAGGAGTAAAGTAAAGAGTAGAGGTAAACAAAAGAGAAAGTAAATAGGCAGAATGGAGGAGGCTCATTCTTTATCCTCGAGCTGCAGATTGTCTGTTTAACTACTTTTTCACTAGTGAAGCGTTCAGTTTATCCTCTTATAAAGTCCACTATGTAAATAGCAAATGCGCCATGGCGTGACGCAACAGACTTTTAAAGACACCAATAACTCATTATAAGAATAAGCACAACCCATGCGCCAGGGTGCAAAATGTATATTTCAGTCCTTAAAATAACAAAAGTAGTTTCGGACACACCCTTAATGCTTTTGCCATGCACTTTACAATTTGCGCCTTTTTTTTACTGAGCGTAAAAACAAACATATTCCTGTGAAATTCAGTCTATGTCCAGTCTCTAAAGAACTTTTGACTGATTTTGACCCGACCAGCATACTTGTTTAAGCATTTGAACAGAAAGCATTCTACAACAATACTCGTCACCAAGGAGGACACCGGCGCCCAAAAGCATGATGGCCCAACTCAGCCTGAACAGGCTAAATAGTGTTTTTGTGCACAATCTGGAGTGAAGGTGTCTTCTGAACGTGAAGAGAAGCATAACTGCTTGGGGCAGTTCACATATCTCATCTTTTGCACATATTAGTAGTGCACATTGCACGCGCTCGCATTTCCCAGGTGTACCAGTTGAAAACCATGAGTCGCATGACAAGAACTGACCAATCAGCTTCTTACTTTGTAAGGAATATTAGGGGTGTAAAAATTAATTGTTTCTTCTGTATCAAGACAATTCGGTATCGATTCAGTAATAATCATAACCGGTTATTATGTACTGACGTCATTTATCTCCTATGCGCTCTGTCGCGAGAGAGGTGAGCGCCGGTATTTACAACACTCAGCCAACTCAGGGCCGGCCCGTAGCATAGGCTCCATAGGCAAATGCTAAGGGTGTGCATATCCAGTGGGGCGCCAGAAATGAGCGCGCTTCAGTTAGTTTTGTTTTCGATTTTCCTGACACACATTTAGTTATAGACGGCAATAACTCAAAAATCTCTTACCCTAAAAAGATCTAAAGTGTGTTTCCTACAGAAAGACAAAGCTGGTTATGTTTCACAGCTGTCTTTCTTTTTTTTCATCTGCGTTTACTTTAGCCGGCAGAGCTCGCGCTGACAGGAGCTCTCAGTAAGGGACCGTCGGAAAAGTGCTTATTTTTTTTCGTTTTTCTGCTCCGCTCAGTTGCAAGGGCTTAAGTGTGTGTGTTTGTGTGTGTGTGTGTGTGTGTGTGTGTGTGTGTGTGCGTGCGTGTGTTTGTTTGATGCTGTCTATGTTTGTGAATGTGTTTGAATGATAGACAGTGTGGTGCTGTGTGTCTGTGTGTTTATACAGACAGCATGTTATAGCCTCCCCCCTAAAATATAACACTGTATATGGAAAGCATCGTCAATGCACCGTGATGCACCGAGATATCGAATTGAACCGAATCGATGGCATGATAATCGTAACCGAACCGAACCGTGAGACCAGTATAGGTTCACACCTCTAAGGAATATACACACTTCGGTAGACTAATTACCTCAGACAAACACAGAACACCCAAACACTGCTGTGCTTTTTCATACTATGGATGTCAGTGGTTTCGTGTATCCAGTTTTCTAGTCTTTCGAATATCTTAAGCTGCTATGATTAACTCATTGTAATATTTTTCAGTGAATATTAAACTACTGAAAGAGCTGCAGTTTATTTTGTATTTTCAGGGGTAAAATTTATATGTTTAAAAAGTAACTTCAAAGTAATTAGTAATTGATTATTTTTACATGAAGTAATTAGTAATGTGATCAAATTACATTTTTCGAGTAGTAATCAGTAATTTGTAATGAATTACTTTTTCAAAGTAACTGACGCAACACTGTGAGGTTCAGAGCTAGCCATATTACCAAAATGTATTGTATACACACTGCTAAGCACTGATTGGTCTTAGAGAATCATCACTATCAACACCAATACCAGTGTCATTGCATTTGCAAAACAAGAAATCAAACCCACTATATTTAAATAGTTAACAGCAGCCACTGCTGTATTGTTGGTTCAAACAACTAAAACATTTTTATTCCACTGCAAAAAAAAAAAAAAAAAAAAAAAAGCACCTAAAATGGCAGCATCAAGGTCAGTAGAAGAGGTTCAGACATTTATACTGTCACTGGTAATTCATGTTGTGCTGGGTGAGACCTTACTCAGAAATAAGAGGGAATTTACTTCCCCTAAAAGCCGAAAAAAAACAGACCCTAGTTTCTGTTGTCCAAACAGACTGAACAATTGATAATTCTGCTAAAAGCCTCTATATGATTTTGAATTCAGTATTCTACTGAAGAAAGGGATGTATATCATGGATGGCCTAAAAGTTAATTAATTATTGGCTGATTTAACAAAAAAAAATGGTAGTTGAACTATAGCTTTAAGAGAGCATTTAAGCTTAAGTGAGTTTTAAAGATGAATTTTGAGTTGAATTAAAAGTACAATGTCTGTGTGTTTTAAAGGAGGTTGATTCAGATGACACTGGCTGTGTGGTTTGCACTGACTCTTACCAACGTGGTGAACAAGTCACAGTTTTACCGTGCAGGTGCAGTATAAAGTCAACATATGATTTCGGTTAAACATTACTTTAGTATAGTAACAGTATAATTTATTTAAATAGACTGTCTTCATTCTAACACAACATGTATACTGTATGTTACATGTTGTTAAATCACAGAGGTAAATCAAAATCCCTTTAAGCCAAGAAAATTAACCTGGCAGCAATCTATGAAATTCTTCTTATCTCTTTGAATGGGGAAGCATCAAATTCTCCAGAACTGCTTGCCAAGCTAAATTTCATATTTGGCATTACTAATGACATTTAACAACAGCTGTCTCTTAAATTTAGTTTCAAAACATTAGAATCAAGACAACAAAAGTTTTTTTTTTTGGCTGTTTCTGAAGGACATGGTCAGACATCATCATGTCAATCAAACGATTTAGCCAAACAATAACTTACATGTGACAATCATCCTCCGAATAAGACCCTGTCTGTTTACGCCGGTCTTCTGAAGTAATTTCCAACTTATTCCTGATCCAAATCTTCTCCCAAAATGACGAGTGAAGTGGTTGCTGTCATGTGATTTGCATTTGAATGGTGGAGGCGGGAATTGGTCAGACAGGACACACTTTACTTCACATTCGTTTCATACAGATTACAAACCCTACTAAAAAAAAACAGCTTAAGCCAGCCTATGGTTATGACCTGCTAAAACCAGCTTGACCAGCCTAGCCAGGCTGGAAGCCCAGCTAATACCAGCTATGTCCAGCTTAAACCAGGCTGGTCAAGCTGGTTTTAGCTGGATTTAGCTGGTCAAGACCAGGCTGGAAATGGCTGGAAACCAGCCTGAAAATGGCCAAAACCCCTCTAAAACCAGGCTGGTCAACCAGCTAAAACCAGCCATCCAGCTTAGGCTGGTTTAAGCTGGATTTTTCAGCAGGGAAGCCATAGAACATTTGTTTTCAAGTGTCGTTGGTTCTTTTAAAAGCAGAGATTGTAAGCTTTATGTGAATATATTTCTCATAAATGTCAGGCAAGTATTCGCTGAGATTCTGTCATTTTTGACGATGCCAGACATAACATTAAAGCTACAGTCGTCTGGATAAAGCTCCTCCCCTGGAGAATCATCAATAGCCTGGGCTGGCTCCTTTACTTGACCACATTAGTCCTTATTACACTTATTATTAAATTACATTTTCCCCATTCAAAACTGTATGAGTTTTGATGCATTATATTTTGGTTTGCTTTTAATAAGAATAAAATTAACTCTATTCTCTCTTGTTTTCTAGGCATTTATACCATAAGAAATGTATTGAGCCATGGCTTTTGGAACACCCCACCTGTCCCATGTGCAAATATAACATCCTCAAATCCTCGGTTAGTTTGGAAGCAGATCAGCAGATGTAGTCATGAATGATATTATGTAACATGGGTTCTTTGTTTTTTTATATGTTTAGATTGAGGAGGATAGCTATGACCAGCCTTCACCATCATCATCCTCTTCTTCATCATCTTCCTCAAATGATACATTTTGTTTAGCTACAATAACATCAGCAGATCAACGCAGCACATTACAATCAAACATCCAAACTGAAGAAAGTAAGTAAAGTCTAAAACAAAATCATTTGTTGCTTAAAAATGTTCATTCATGTTTGTGGGTATTAAAGTGATAATACCTCCAAACCTACTTTTTTTGTCGTTGTTTACTCACCCTTACATGTTTTACTTTTTTTCTGTTGGACACAAAATAAAATTTTTTGAAAATTAGTAGAAACTCATAACCATTTTTTATAGTATTTGTTTTTCCTACTATGCATGTAAGAGCCAGTTCATTCATTCATTCATTTTCTTGTCAGCTTAGTCCCTTTATTAATCCGGGGTCGCCACAGCAGAATGAACCACCAACTTATCCAGCAAGTTTTTATGCAGCGGATACCCTTCCAGCCGTAACCCATCTCTGGGAAACATCCACACACACACACTCATACACTATAGACAATTTAGCCTACCCAATTCACCTGTACCGCATGTCTTTGGACTGTGGGGAAAAACCGGAGCACCCGGCGGAAACCCACGCGAAGGCAGGGAGAACATGCAAACTCCACACAGAAACGCCAACCGAGCCGAGGTTCGAACCAGCGACCCAGCAATCTTCTTGCTGTGAGGCGACAGCACTACCTACTGCACCACTGCCTCGCCCTAAGAGCCAGTTATGCATAATTAATTTGTGATGATAATTTAGTTAAAAAGGTTGAACATGGCGAAAGTAAAAAAAAATCATAATTATTCTATTATCTGAAATGCATAATTTAATAATTAATACAATTTAAGAACTTTAATTTTTATTTTATTTTATTTTTTATTTTTTTGCTTCCGACAGTAAGTTGACATGATGTCATTAGTTTGTACGTTTAGGTCAGATTGCAGCTTAGGACATTGGAAGCAACACAGTTTTTTGACCGAGCTATGTCGAGTCTACCCACAAAGCAAATTATCTCTGGCCCAGCTCTGGCTCACTCAGTCAGCTTTTGCTTGGCTCACATGCCACATTAAATTACGGTACATGACTATACCAAGTCTGGCTTCCAGACAAGGGTCAAACATGGACCATATGTGGGTCAAGCGTCAGCCAAGTTTATAACCCATAACTGAGCCTGAACTGGGCCAGATATGCTGGTGTGTCATGACTGCAATGAAATTGATAAACCCATGAATCATTTCTCTTTAGACGTGCTATGGGTGTGCTTTTTCTCGAACCAACCTGATTGGTAGAATTTTTTTTTTTTATAATTTATATAAATTTTAAATGTGGGTCAAACTTACATGGCCAACAAATCAATTTTTAACATCTGTGGGACTGGGGGAAGCCGGAGCATCCGGAGTAAACTAATACAAGGAACATGCAAACTCCACACAGAAATGCCAACTGACCCAGCCGGGACTCAAATCAGCGACCTTCTTGCTGTGAGGTGATAGCACTACCCACTGTGCCACTGTGCCGCCTTTCTTATATTAGCCCTCGTGCTCAGGGCTCCCTCCCATTGCAGGGCGAGAGGCAAGTTTGAGCTCAGGTAGATCTCGAAACTCCCCTTCCGTAGTAGCTAATGAACAGAAATGGGTTGCTCTTAAGAGATAACTACTTACTAAAAGCATGTCTATGGTGCAGATTTACATTAGTCAGTTAACTTAAGTTACAGGTTTTTGGGCAGTGGGAGAAACCGGGAAACCCACGCGAACACAGGGAGAACGTTTAACTTCTGCACAGAAACGTCTGCTTGCTTGGTTAGCACTAAAATCAGTGACGTTCTTGCTGTAAGGCAACAGTGCTAACGAAGATGGCTGTGATATGGAACTTAGGGTATTTATAATGACTTAGGAAACGTCTGATTGGTGAATCATGAATTGGGTAATGAATGACCAGCTGTGTTCAATCCATAGACTGTAAAATATATGGACGTAGTGTCCGTGACGTCACCCATAGGTTTCTAAAGAGCGCAAAAGAAGCCACAAATAGGCGCGGCCAACCGTCGCCTTTTTGTTCGCGCGTCATCACACCCACGGCGGGATACCAAACAAGGGCAAAGAGGCGGAGAGTGAGCGGAGCTACAGACACGTGCTGGCATTTTGCCTGGACCTGGCTCAGACACACTGTACTTTGGGAGAACGCTTAATACTTTATCACCTGTGACTCGTTTGTGTTCTGACCACTTGTGCTTGGTTGTATACTATATCAATAAAGTGTTTAGACTTTTAAAAACACTGCTGTAATACATTGAGCCACTAAACATTGTTCTTATGACGTTTTTCAACAGGAGGAAAACGCGAATTACTTCCAAACACTTCAGATATAGTCTGTGTTAGTTAATGTAAGACTATTGATGAAATCCAGCATAACACTGTATGACAACGCTTCAGAGGACTGTTCTAGAGCCTACAGCTAATCAATTCGTCAGATTCTGGAGTGCATTACAGCTCTAAATATAAACATAAACGATAAATGATCTTAAATAAAACAAATACATGTATAAAGATGGTATATAGTATATAACTTTACTCACATGGGAAACGGAGGCCACATGAATGGTTTGTGAGCACAATTAAGTGCACTCAGCATGCCATGCCATCTAATAATTGTAGGAAACAAGTCCAAAAGGCAGTTGACGGTGTAAAGCCACATAAAACAACACAGAAATACGATAAATATGCCAAGTTCAGTGGTTAATCTGCAGGATTCAGCTGAAGTGACGTGATGGCGACCAACGAGACCTAGCTGTCACTCAAGTGGCCACGCCCTTAATTATGCAAACTTAATATAACTTAATATAAAGGAAACGGATGAGTTATAAAAAAATTCACCCCCTCACAGTTGTCATGAAGGGTAATATTAGCTGTATTAACCAAAATCTTTTTTTGTACCAGGCTGTAAACCTCTTTTTTTCTGCTGTAAAGTTGGCCATTCTAACAGTGGGCTCAATTGAAATTTGCTCTATTTTGGAGCCAGGAGCAGCCAGGACTAGCGGAATTTCGGATGAATTGCAATTTTAGTTACTTTCGTATTGGCTTCCTGAGGGAGAGCGGGAGGTTGACGCTTGGTTCAATCATAAGCACATGGTCCTCTTGAAATTAGCTTATAAATAAACTTCACAAAGTGTGAAATACAGTTTTGCCATCCTATCATTGTTATGCTGGAATAATCTGTACATGCCATGGTGTATAGTTATGACTTATGGTTAACCATGTTTTTTTTTTATCGACAGCAGCAGGTGGACATACATCCGACACTGTGAACTGCAACCTGGACATTCACACTCAACACATTTATGATAACCCAGGATTTGAAGAGGAACCAGAGATAATCGAGCATCAGAACATCAACCAACAACTTTAATACTAAACTGTGACATAATATATATTTGAATATTTACATATTTTGACATCTAAACAGGCACTGCACACATAGGGCTCAACCTGCCCTTTTTAGTCTGTGATATAAAGTGCCCTTCCAAAATGAACAGAAGTGGCCCCGCGATTTACAACCACCACCACCCTGATCTTCAGTTCTAGACATGTTCTGCCCCGCTCATCAGTTCTTGACATGTTCTGCCCTGCTCTTCAATTCTGCACAAGCCCCCTGAAAGCCTCTGCATGGCATCTGAATATCTGAAACAGCAACATCTATGAAATAGAAGGACATTTAAAAGGATGAAAAATAGGAAAAACAAAATTAAGATGTGTAAAGTCAGCATGAAATGGAAGTTAAGATCGTCCTTTCCCCCTATCTTGACATACATCCAATTGAAATGGTTTTTAAAATGAGAAAAAATGTAGGGCAGTGCATGATTTTGCTCTCTGGCTACTGATTGGATCATTTGAAGATGGCTGCTCACAACAAGCTAAGTTGCTAACAAAATGGAGGAAGCTTTAAATGCTTTTTGCACTTAGATTTTAAGGAATCACAGTCAGCTGAGCTCCCTCTGAAGCAAAAGGTTTTCAGGATAAGAAAGAGGAGCTAAGTTTTACAGATGGATTAGTATCATATACAAAGCACTGCTTCATAGAAAATAGGCATGCGCTGATAGTCCCGCCCTAAAGCCATGTGACCAGAAGTGAGAAAAGTTGTGTCAAGGAAGAAGAGAATGCTAAAGCGTATGGCGCAAAAGCATTAAGGGTGTGTCCGAATCCACTTTTGCTATTTTAAGGATGAATAAATAGGCTTTGTGCTGCGCCACATGGTCTAACAGGGTTGTACTTATTCTCTTAATGAGTTATGGGTGTGTTTTGAGAATAAACCAATCAGAGTGTCCTCTTCCATTCCCTTTAATGCCGAGTTCAGACTGCATGATTTTAGCTCCGATTTTGGCTCGGTGACACGTTTTGAGAAATTGCAGACAAATGCCTGAAATCACAGGCAAATCAGTGCTCGTGCACGTTATCTGAGGAAAAGGAAGAGATGGGGTGGAAGGGGGGATTCTTCCAAAACGAAGATAAGGCAATAGGGCGAAATCAGTCTATTTATTCTAAGCTTGAATCAATCTGATTGGATTATTACTGATTATGGATGAGAGGCCAGCTGTGATCAATCATATCATGTGCTCCTCTCGAAGTTAGTTTATAAAACTTCACTTGTTGTTTATTGTGAATCAGTTTTAAAGGCCACCTACTTTGTTTTCATTTTCATAAGGGGTTTAAGCAACAGTGACAACTGTGTGAACATCCAGTCTCTAATGGTAAAAAATAATTAATTCTGTTTTTATAATCCACATTTTTTTATAATTATTTTTAGGGGTTTTCACCGTTATTTGGATAGGACAGTGGAAATTTTACAGACAGGAAAGTGTGGGGAGCAGAGATAGGGAAAGGATTGGCAAAGGACCTTGAGCCAGGAATCGAACTCAGGTCGCCGTGAGCACCTTGGTGCTATTTGTTGCTATAAATCCACATTTTAATTGACGTTTTCCATTTGTACATTTCATCAGAGGGGGAAAGCCCCACCCATTCATGACGATTTGTCCCTCGTTAGCATTGAGAGCCATGAGTGAGAAGCTGCCGTCCGCCATTAAAGTTTTCACATTGTACCTGCAAAAGATGGTAGGCTTGTTCGACTTCACACAGCATCACAAGAATCGGCTGCCACCTGAAAAAAGCAATGCATTCTGGTTAGACATTTAGTCCCACAATGTACTGTGAGAGCAAAACGAGAGCAGGTGCTCAGATCAGATGCTGCAGTTGCTCAAAATTGGCTGTGAAAGACTTTCATGACAACACACTTTATTCTTATTGGTTAGAGTTTGTGACGAAAAGTATGACATGTGCTACATGGTTTAATCAGTAATTTATTTATTTATTACTCGTTTATTTATTAACCAAACTTTATCTTGAATAAATATATCAAAATATGTTCTTATTGTATAAGAACAAATGTTTGAAAAAAAAAAACATTTTATATTAAGAAAATAAAATAAAACATGTTATATACACAAATACATCGTCTTCATATATATATATATATATATATATATATATATATATATATATATATATATATATGAAGACAATGTAATTTGTTTTTTTCAGAGGAAAAGTTTTAAAGCAAATGAAATTTAGCTGATTCTGCGTCTCTTAACTACTCCCGGCTCCTGCATCTGTTCCTGCAAACAGCAGATCTTGCCTGTAAGTTGCAGGCTAGTGTGGGTCAGCTCGAACAAACCTCATGTCAGGGACTAAGAGGCATTATAAATGCAGAGTTTTAGGATGGCCAAATCAACAAAGTAGTCTCCATAGATGACCTTCTTCTGAGCCACTTGTTTTTCATTTTTAGAAATAACGTTAGTCCTTTTTGATTCTGCCGCTATGCTGATTCATTGCCATTTGTAGTTCCATCATCTTGGACCACAAATTCAATCGAGTTTTAAGTTAAGACGGTCGTACTTCCCCATTCCATGTTGTACTGCTCTTGGACTTTTGATGGCTTTTCTGAGGTAAAAGTGATGTATTTGGACATTATTTACAAGCTGTTAATTAACATGCAGTCAGAACAATTGAGTGATTACATGAGGTGTTTTACATTTTAATATGTTGGACTGTTTTTTTAATCAGTAGGATTGTGTTCACAATTTGCCATGGCACATTATAGATTGTCAAAAAAAAAGGTTTAAATAGGCAGAATTTAAATTTAAACTGGGATTTTCGGCTGGGCTTTTTATTATTGCAAGCATAAAGGTTGTGATTATTGGGTGCCAGATGCTCTACAAATAATGTTTAGTGCACTTCTGCACTACAATTCTGGTTGCCTTAAATTTTTAAACTGAATCAAATGAATCTTATGAGTCCATTGTTTCTATGTTAAACTGACATAAAACAGCTCACGTAACTTGTAAAATTAAGTTAGAACATGATTAACTTTAAGTTAAGTTAAGTTACAATGACCTAAAAGCATATGCTTCCAGGAATAATTGATCATATTTTTTTTTTACAGCATGAAGGTGTTCAAAAAAATGTCATATAAAGAAGAATGTATTCTAACCAGAAGAGCTGTAATGTTTATTGAAACAATGGATCCAGGAAACTGTAAATTGATGTAAAACTGTTCTTGTAATAATGGAATTTAAAACCACAGTTGGCTATTTTGGGGAGAAAGCACCCCTGATCTGTAATTGATATACTTGTACTTTGTTAATAGGAAACTCTATGTTTGTATTTTTACAGAATGCTAATGAATTTGCAGGCTGATCAACCAATATGTTCAAATGAAATAAATTATCCTGCTGTTGCTATAAATACTTTATGAAGCTCTGTAAAACACTACAATTGTTATATGTTTATTTCTGTTGTACTGTAATGTGATGGTTTTGAGGATTTGCCCAGACACAAGAACTCATATATATATATATATAGTTGAAGTCAGAATTATTAACCCCCCTGAATTATTTGCGTGCCTGTTTATTTTTTTCACCAATTTCATTTTAATGGAGGGAAGATTGTTTCAGCACATTTCTAAGCATAATAGTTTTAAAAACGTATTTCTAATAACGGATTTATTTTATCTTTGACATGATGACAGTAAATAATATTTTATTTGATATTTTTCAAGACACATCTTACAGCTTAAAGTGACATGTAAAGGCTTAACTAGGTTAATAAAGTGAACTAGGCAGGTTAGGGTAATTAGGCAAGTTATTGTATAATGATGGTTTGTTCTGTAGATTATCGGAAAAAAATTTGCTTAAACGGGCTAATAATTTTGTCCCAAAAATGGTTTTTAAAAAATTAACTGCTTTTATTCTAGCTGAAATAAAACAAATAAGACTTTCTCCAGAAGATAAAATATTATCAGACATACTGCGAAAATTTCCTTGCTCTGTTAAACATCATTTGGGAAATATTTTTAAAAATCTAATCAAATCAAAAGGGGGCTAATAATTCAGACTTCAACTGTTTATATATATATATATATATATATATATATATATATATATATATATATATATATATATATATATATATATATATATATATTGTGATATATCTGACTGTAAAAGATACACTTGAGTCGGAGCGTCCGTATTAAGCAACAGCTTTACTTTTAGCTTTCATCCGAAACTTCCAGAACTATATCAACTACTTCCGTACTACGGAGTCCCTATTGTTTCAAATACAAAAATGCAAACATCAATATATCACATTACCCCCCTTTTTAAACACAGTACATTTACTGTTACCTTCACATAAAAAAAAAAAAAACTGCACATGCAACAACATTACTATCAAAACTAACAGTAGCTGTTAAATTCTTCTTGCATTAACACAACAGCAGAGAGAAAAACAAAAAAAAAATACTAAACCTAGTATATTACGAGACCATTGCAAATTTTAAACTTGGTTGCATTTGCACAGTTGTAATTCCTAAGCATTATGGGTCATAGCGTTTTGGTGTCTTTCTAATTCTAGATGAGCGACGTAGACCCTGTGCCATGCTTGTATTTCCTACACTGTCCTTTTCAGAAGTCTCTGAAATGACCGGTTCCTCCTCTTCTGATGCACAGGGTCTAACGGAAGTTTCAGTCCCAGTCTCAGAGCAGTCCATCTGTTCAACAGGATCATCCACTACAACCCGTGGTCTTAACTGATCACAATGTCTCCTGAAAGTGCCATCTGTGTCTTGTCCCTGAACGTTATAAGACACAGGACCGGTTTGCTTTACTATCACTCCAGGAACCCATTTGTTCCCTTTTCCTGTGGTATTACGAAGGTAAACCGCATCCTTCTCAGAGAATGATCTCTCCACAGACCTTTTGTCATGATGGAACTTTTGTAGGTACTGTTTCCTGCGAACAGCAACAGTGACATCTGGGTGAACAAAGTCCAGCCGAGTGCGCACATGTCTGTTAA